ACCCAGTGCCTCACACATGTGAGGTGAGCACTCTACCACTGAGCTACAACCCCAGTCCTCAAAAAGCCAACTTTTAAAATAATTATTGGGCTGGGGATGTAGCTCAGTGGTTTGATCCCCAGCACTTTAAAAAAAAATTATTTTTAATTTTTGGCAAGGTTTTTATTTTGGAAAAATACAGAAAAGGAAAGAATGTAATCCTACTGACTAGAAGTGACCTCAGTTATAGTTTGGAACATAATCCTTTTCATCTCCTTTCTATAAATATTTTCCTGCCCTTTTCATTTAGCATTGTGTCATAAGAATTTTTCAAATCAACTTTTTGGACTGGGGATTGAGCCTAGGGATGCTTTACCACTAGGCTACATCCCCAGTCCTTTTGTTTGGGGACAGGGTCTCACTAAGTTATTGAGACTGGCTTTGAACTTGCCATCCTCCTGCTTCAGCCTTCCAACTTGCAGGGATTAAAAGTGTGCACCACTGTATGCAGCAAGTTAACCTTTTCTTATGCATAATTTTTTTGGTTATGTGTTGACTATTTAATTTAGAGAAATTTAAATTTGACAAAAGTCTGCTTCCTATATTTCCTTGGAAATACATTTGTAATTTGAATTACTTTAAATCATGCGTAAATAACCCTCTAAGGAGTACCTCTGCCTTTCCTTCAGAGATTTTACATAGAAATTTTAGCCAAGGAATACCATGCGCAGTAGTCAAAAGAAAGAATATTGATTGGGTTTTGCGCTCCAGTTTGCCACATATGAACAAAAGTAGATGTGTGCATTTGTTGGCACCTCTGAGCATTTACTTTTTCCTCGTTGAAAGTTGAGAGGAGTGGGGGCTGGGGTTGTGGCTCAGCGGTAGAGCGCTCACCTCGCACGTGCGGGACCCTGGGTTCGATCCTCAGCACCATATAAAAATAAATAAGTGAAATAAAGGTATTGTGTCCAACTACAACTAAAAAATAAATATTTAAAAAGAAAGAAAGAAAGTTTAGAGAGGAGTTAAAAGGTGGCCTGGATAGAGTTTCTGTTCTGTCTTCTTGACTCAAGTGGATGAGGCTGGGCAGAGCCAGGGAAAGAACCAGGACTTGAGAACAAGATGGCTCAGGGTTTGGAATGCCTTCTCCACTTGGAAGCAGGCACCTTCCACTCTCCCAGAGTATGCTGTGTAAAACACTTAACATAGTTCTTGCAAACAGTGTAGTGACTGAGAGCATAGGTGCTAGAACTTCCTGGGTTCACATTCCAGCTTTGCCCTTTAAGAACTGACTGGCCTTGGGCAAGTTATGTGACCTTGTATTTCTGTTTCCTCATCTATAAAACAGGGATGAACGCAGGAACCAAGTTCATAAGGTTGTTAGGATATTTGAATCAGTGCACACAATGGAATTCTAACCATGCTTGCACATCACTCGTGCCAGTTAGTTGTGTTAAAATGCTGTAGACACTTAATGAATGGTGTCTATGATTAGCATAAAACCTGCTGGGTCTTGAGGAAGATGAGCCTCAGCAGTTCTTTTGGTGTTCCACTGTCACATGGAAGTAGTGCTACTTCTGGCACCTAATCTCACTTCCTTCCCTTAGCAGTGGAGAAGCATCATTCATAAGTGGGTGGGGCCCATCTGTTTGACCTCACCGCTTGAAGGTCCCACTAGCTGTCTCCTCCACAGAACTACAACCTACCTCAGTGTCCCCATCCCTGACATGGACTGTGGCTCCAGCCTCGTATATAACTGGTCTTCCTCTGCCAAGCTAACTACTACTTCCACCCAAAAGAAGACCAGCCAGGGAAACCTCTAGGCTGGAGTCTGTGACTCTCTTCAGCTACAGGGTCTAGGCCAGCTCAGCAAGGTGGGCTCCACAGTGGGTAGCCTCCAGCCCGTCCAGACTGGGTGCAGTGCTTGTTCAAGAAGAGTAAATAGGGCCCTGTGGGGCTGAGTGCTCAGCTTAAGAAGCTGAGAACTCACACACTTCTCAAATAGAGTGAAGTTATTTAAGGTACAAAGGATTTTTCCCATCAGGAAAGATTCCCCTACAGGTTCCTTTAAATAGTGACTCCTGGAGGCAGGCAAGAGTTTTACAGATCATTAACTACTTGACTGAAAGCCTGCGGGGCAGAAAAACTTCAAACTCAAGTGAGGGGAGTCCCTGCCAATTACAGATCAATCCAAAATGAAGATAAAGTATCACTGGAATAAGAAGTCAGTGGAAAAATATGATTCGATTCAGGGAAAAAAAAATCTGATTTAATGCATCTTTTATGTTAAAATGGTGTTCTACTTGTCTGCCCATCTTCAACCTATTGTGTTCATTTCCCACATCTCCTTTCCAAAGCCCCAGCCTTGGGGTTCCTCTCTGGGTACAGTGACTGCACAGTAACAGCAGGAAAGGGTGTCATTGGGAAAGTGTTCTTGTGGCCAGGCAAAGCTTAGGCAACTGATGCAGAGATACAGCCTGTAATGGATGAACCATACAGTAACAATTTGCAGATAAAAATAATAGAAGTTAAAGTGTACTTTACATGATAAAAGAAAGATGAAAGAGGATGAGAGTCTGTTACATCTGAGATGGTTACAAAAGTCCTGCTTTGTGAAGTAGGCTGTGTTGAAAAGATTGATGCAATGGGGAGTGACCTTGGCTTGGAGCAGGAGCTGGTGATGTATGTATGAGCATCCCTCTGCTAAATGGACCCAGATTTGTAGCACTAATATACATGGGAGCCCAGAACCAAACTCAGTATGGCAATAAATCAACAGCCACTTTGGGTGTCATTTCTGGTTTATATTCCACTATTGTTCTATCACTTTAATTCATGTCACTATCATCTTTTCATCTGGAACAGTTTTATATAATTTTCCAGTGGAGTTACCTGACAAATCCTATCAAATTAACAAGGTACATTAACAATATTGACTGACTACGGCTTCAGGAGTTGCAGGGCCACAGAACAAAATTCTAAACCACCTCTCTCGGGTGATGATTTTTTTCTCTCTTTCTAAGAAAGGAATGTGGGGCAGGGTTTATTTCCACATAAGAAATATGCACATTTATTTTGCTCTGCTCATTTCAACTTTTACAAATGTCAAAATAAAATAAAAAGAAGAATAAGGAAGAAACACTTGTACACACACACATACACATATATGCTACTCACACCCATGGCTTAAGTACTTTTCTTTCAGGAAACTATATATATGTCCAGATCTTTTGCAATCAATGACCAAATTGTAGGCAAGAGTGTAACTGGGAAGTTGTAATCTATTTTAAGTGAAATGTAATAAAATTGATCTCCTGGTACTTTCTCACTCCCTGAAATCATCTAGACCTGGGCATCCAGTGTCAGTTGGACTTATGACATGATACCTAATTGAAATATGATGTTCCTGAAATGTGTCGGATGACAAATCTCAGTGTTTGATTAATTTAAAAAAATAAAAACCAGTTGTTTGTCTTTACCTAAGACTACGTAATGACCAGGCTTAAGCACATCACTGCCCTGTCTCTTCCGAAGACAGCGGAGCCCTGCTCTCGTCCATCTGTCCACCGGCTTTTGCCTTTGTCTAACTGGAATTTGGAATTAATCTATCCAAAATATAAAATAGGAACAAATGGAGTGTGTGGCAGACTTAATCACCAAGATTGGGTGTTTTCTTTTTAATTTCCAGTTTTCTGTCAGACCGTGGTTCTTGTGTGTGTCTATATTTTGGTTTTTTAGGGGACATTAGTTAAGCCCTTTCTTTTATCTGCCACCTCTTCTGGCTTACTATTTTCTCATATTTTGTTCAAAATTTTCTAAGTATAATCCATAGGATGAAATTTATTAACCCCAATTGTTTTTTCTATTACACTTGAGTATGTACATTTGATTATTTTAATTGTTTCTTATATCTTGACTTCATTTTGCTTTTTTTTTTTTCCTTTTGGACTTTGACCCTGACCTTTAAACTATGGCCTAAAAATTAATTACTTTAAGGTTCCATATGGGGCTCACTCCAGAGTGTGTATTAAAGGTTTTTGTCTCACTTCATGAACACATTCTTTAATTTTCAGCAAAAGAAGAAAAAGAGTGCATCTAGGTTAGATCATGAGAATCAAGTTAAGAATGAGAGCACGCTCCTGAGATGCCCGGAGACCCACTTCTGTGCGTGTCCACGCTGACACCAGGGTACCTCCTGTGCCAGGCGCTGTCTTTATTCTACAAACACCTTTAATCCCGGCCACTGTGCAACATGATATGTCTTTCACAGCCCTAAAATAAAACCTGAAGTGCCAAATTTAACATTCTGGCTTCGAGGTCTTTTGCATAGAGTGCATACCCAGTGCTAATCTGTCCCTCAGCAGAGAACCCAGTGGCCTCCATAGCCTGAAGCCAGGCTCCAGGACTTGAACTTGGAAGGCTTTATATAAAAGACTCTTTGATCCTCCCATGACTTCTTCCTTAAATATAGTTCCAGTAATTATTTAGTGTCCCAGAAGGAAAGAGAGATTTTTTTTTCCTGTTTAATTAGTGTGTAAAAAATTTCCAGATCAGAAATTCTTCATGGGTAGCTTAGCTTTTTAAGCATAAGTAATATTAATTCGTCCATCCCAGGTCATCGTTTTAAAAAAAAGAAAGAAAGAAAAACACTGATCAAAATTATTTTTAAATGACCCTAAGTTATAGTTTATTTCATTAAATGTAGAAATCATGTAGTTAATAATATGTAGGTAAATTCTCTATTGTGTCTATATTATATCTCAAAGGCATGTTTACCAAGACTAGATTTTCATCTAGTTTTGGTTGTTATCTGCCCCCCATAGCTCACCCTCTTAGGAAACCAAACTGTGCAACTTTTCCATGCCATTTAGAGTCTCTGTTGTAAGAAGCCCGGCATTCCTCGGGGCCGTAAGAGGTCTCGTGTTCCTCCAGTTCAGGATTTATAAAGTAGGTCAGATTATTACATTGAAATCACTTACACCTTCCACTTCTTCTTTTTTGTCCTCCCCTTGGCCTTCCAGGTATCTCTGGAGACAAAGTAGAGATAGACCCTGTTACGAATCAGAAAGCCAGCACGAAGTTTTGGATTAAGCAGAAACCCATCTCAATCGATTCTGACCTGCTCTGTGCCTGTGACCTTGCTGAAGAAAAGAGCCCCAGTGAGTAGTCCCTTTTATTTATGTCTCCTCCTCTCTTTCCCCTCTCTTCCCCCGTGTGCTGGGTGCCAGGAGAATATATTACCAGTGTGTCCTTTTTTCCTTGGGTCTGTTTAATTCATTACCAGAAATTTCTTTTAATCAGACAGGATTATATTTTGGTGCCCAGAGCCTGAAGTGAGCCCCTACCCTGATCGTTCTTGATGGCGCAGAGAACCTCACAGCCCTGCCCTGGGGGCTGGAGCATGGGGCAGATTTTTCCTGGGAATCCCATCTCACTTTGTGCTCCTGTCCCTTCCCATTTGGCCAGTCAGACCTGGACCTGCTTTCCTTCCATGCCAGATCAGGGGAACCAGGGGTTTTCCCAGCATCTAAAAGCTAGATTTAGATATCCATCATGCCAGAAGTGTCAGCACCTCCAGGTTATTGGCACCTGCATGACCCACCAGCTTGTAATTCAAGTCCTGCCTGGCCTGACAGAAGAGATAGCTGCTGGGTTAGCATTTCTCCACTTAAATTATCACAGCAGATACAGTTTGGTTGTATATTTTGACATATTGTATTTTTGCAGTTAAGTAATTAGATATAGTATATAGATTAATCAATCATTTTTAGGTCTTCAGTCTCATCAGGGGGAAGAAAGGACACACTGAAATTCCTCTATGGAGGGAAAATGTTTAAACTATGTAAGATTTCATGAGCTGCCTGGAGAAGGCTATGAATAGTGGTTCTCAAACTCTGATACTACCTACCAGCATCGCCTACAGAGCCTGTCTGAGGTGTGGCCACACAGAGCCCACCCCATAGATACCGATTCAGTACTAGACATATGGATCGAGCATCTAATTTTTATTAATCCCTCATGTTTCAGTGTCCACAAAATTTAAGAACAAATGTAATCCCATACTCAAAAGGAGCAATAAGAAGTGTCAAGGCCAGCAAGTATTTCATATAATGTGGCCCACGGTTGGTTTTTTTTTTTTTTTTTTTTTTGGTTTTGTGGTCCAAGATTTTGAGGTAATACTTACTAACAAAGGGCCTACAGAACACTGAGCCCTTTCAGGGAGCTCACAGACTAGACACATGCTGCATGGCCTCATTTAGGGCTGGGTTATTTAATTTCTTAGTCAAATTCAGCTATTCTCCTTTCAACTCAGCCTCTAATTTAGCAAGAAGGGGAACTTACTAGGGCTCAAGGAAAGGAGTAGAGCTGTCCCCACTCCCCTCTTTCATTCCTGTCATCCCAGAGAGACCTCTGACTCTGCAAGATGGCTGCCTGAAGAGGCAGGGAGAGAACTGCCCCATGACTGCTGGACTCCCTCTGCCTTTGGAAAACATCATCTTAGTCCCACTCACTCCAGCTTGTCAGCCAGTAAAGGTGGCACTGTTCTGGCATCTTTCTTCCCAAGAACTGAGGATCTTTTTAAAAGTAACATTTCTTGAACTTCTTATGTCTTGGAGAAATGAGAGGCGATCACTTGTGTGTTGCATGGAGGGATGAGCTGGAGGAGAAGGTCAGGGAAGAACCACAGCCAAGCTCCAGGTTTCTCACACACTCTCACCAGGCACGCACTGGGCCTCAGAAGGCCGCAGCTCAGCCCTGGAAGCTGCAGATGTCGCACACCTAGCAAGTGGGGAAGGAAGGACAGACTCCCTGCTGTCTACCAGTTGCATCCTGGGATGCCCAAAAGTAATTATCACAAGTGTGTGGGTGAGGCCACTTTTCAATATCAGAGATACAGAACATACGTGGGCCTGCCGTTTCAGTATTGACAGTCTTGGGAGAGTCTTGTCTTATTATTAGGTATACTAGATGGTTCTGTGTAAAAACTGCACACATGTATCTTACAGAGGTTTCCTTTTTTCACTGTGACTCCAGAGATCTAGAAACTGCGGTGCTTTCCTGAACAGAGTCTCACTGTCCCATAATAGTTTTTAAGTCCCTGTCCCCCGTAGCAGTTCCTTTCATTCCATGTTCTCAGAGCTCAGTGGGGGGAGAGAGAGAGAGAGAGAGAGAGTGAGTGAGTGTGGGGGCGGGGGGACAAGATTAGGCATAAGGCCTTCCCTCCAACCAGAAGAAATCTATTTTTTACTATTTTGGGACTCTGTATTTTAAAAATTCACAGATAAAAGGATTTTGGTACTTAAAAAAAAAAAAAAGAAAGAAAAGATTTGAAAGTTACAGGCTTACAGAATAAACTCCAGACTCCTCAGAACAGCCTCTGTAGACATTGACAGCCACTGACCACTCTGGCCCCATAGACTGGAATTTTTCCATCCTAAATGTGCACCACGGTCACTGTGAGCTGCTGCACCCCACTGGCAGTCCACCTTCCACTCTACCTTCCACCCCACCTCTTCCAACTCAACCTTTCTACCTCCCACACTCGTCTCTCAAGAGCCAGCTTCACAGCAAGGCCCTGTCTATTAACTTGGCCCCCAGGAGACTGTACAGACCCTGTGTACACACACTGTGCATCTGCCTGTGGTCTGCCCCTCTCTCCCACCCCCTTTCCCTGTGACAGTTGGCCCAGGGCACCCTACCCCACTCCAGCATCCTCATTTCCTCACATGGCGCCTGCAGAGTTGTCCTCAATAAATGTCAACTTGAAACTGATCTTAATGAGGCTAAAATTTAGAAACCAAAAGTTATTAGGCGTAATTTATATTGTGAAGTACCCAAACAAGGAGGTGTTAAATGAATCAGATTGATGCTGTGTGTCTTTATGATTTCCAGTATCTTCACCAAATTAATTCAGTGACTTAATCTAAAAAGTTCATCCTCAGACCATCATGAGACCAAGAATTAATCTCTGGGGCTGCTGCTTTTTCTTTCTTTCTTTTTTTCTTTTTTATAGGATTAATGGTAACCCTTTTTATCTTTTGTGTCTGTTGAACCTTAGAAAAAAGTTATTTTAACAGCACTAAAGAAATGAAAGTCACTATATTTCATAAGTTTAGCCTGTGATTTTTATCAGCATAGTGATGTATGTTTGTAGCTGAGTTTACATCAAAAATTATTCTTGGGGCCTTCTTGAATGAATTATGGCAAAGAGAGCCAGTCTAGAAGTAGATAAGGTTTTTGATTTCTGCAATATATTTCCTTTTTCATGTTTTTATCTCTCGTAACACAAGTGTCTTGCTGAAGACCAGAACGTGTGACCAACTGGAATAATTTAGTTGTGGAAGCAGCAGGCATGTTATTAAACAGCCTTCTTTACAAAGAGGCATTAAGTGTTGGGAGGATAATGAAGTTGTCCCTAGTCTTACTTGAGACATGTTTGTCAGAATTTTGAACAGAAAAGAAACGGTTTTTAAACCCTTCGAATATGGCCAGTTTGCAGTGTTTATTGAGAAAGCCACTGTCAAACCATTAATTTGGTCGTCATAAGGAACACAACTCAGGTTTAATTGATGCCATATCCCAAAAGTGTGTGAATAGCTGATTTGGCAGAGGGACTGAGTGTCAGAGCGCCTACACAGAGACACAGTGACATGTGCCGTGGAGGCGGAGGCCGCACTGCGAGGTGGCAGTTGGCGGCTCCTTCCTCCCTCCACTTCTCCCTTTTAGGTGCTCAGAGGGAAGATTTATTGCTCTGTCCCTGTGAGTGTTTAAGGACCTGGAACTTAATGACTAAATAGATACGTGTCTTAAAAAAAATTGTACATAAAAATACAGACTCTCAAAAGAGCTGAGAAAATCTGCGTATCACAAGCTCTGAAAAATTAAGAATAATTTCTGCCTTCTAGATTTAAGAGAAAACCACGCTGCCATTATTACTCAAGGCACTGACATCTCAGTCCAGTTTGCCACTCCTCAGGCTGTCTTTTGCTGCTTATGTATTTATGTCACAAACCTCCCAAAAGGTGAATTAACCCTAATTTCTTTTAACTGACCAAGGATGTGTCTGGCCCCAGGAGAGGAGAACATTTCTAGGTCGCACTTCCCTGCTTACGTTGTCCATCCTCACACAGGTCTAGGCGAAGGCTTTGGACGCTGTGGGCTGTCTTTTCAAGGCCAGCCTCAGATTCCTCTGCTGAAACACAAGCCAGAGACCTTTCCGTGAAACTCGTCCCCATCAGAGACTCTCCACCAGGCCAGGCCTGGTCTCATCAGAAGCTTGTGCAGGTTCAATCTTTAAAGGAAGTAGCCTATCATTAAGAAATCAGATTTAAGCCTTAATAAAGTAGCTGTCGTCTTTATAGCTGAAAAGAGCTCTGTATCCCAATTAAGTATAGATAATATACAATCTTAAGGAAGCAACATAATAGAAGTAACCTGATTATGTTCTCTTGCAATAGTATAATCTAAAGGAAATCTGATTCTGTTTATGCTGGTTATGTTGGTGGGGGATTTTTTGGTTTATATGTTTGTTTTGTCCAAAACACTGTTTGGACACAGAATAGGAACTCTTTGGGGTTATGAATTAATCACAGCTGCAGGAGGCTCTTAAGCCCTAGTAAACTGAACCTGCTGGATATTTGAGATGAGATTCCGTTAAAACTATGAGTTAAATTAGCTGGGCTTATTGGTGACCTCCCGCTTAAATGAATCTTTCTTTCATAAGTACTTGACAAGATCTGTAAAGTAGTGTATTTAATTTACTAATTAAATTAAAGCTGCTGAATAATGATTTGTCCACATTGATTTAACTTAAGCAGAAAAGATCAGCATTGTTGTGATCTTCAGCAACCTTAATGGCCAAGCCAGTTAGACACAAAGGCCTCTTGTGTTTTGTGGGTCAGAAGTACAGAGGTAAGCCCAGGCTGTAATTGAATTGCCTGCTCCGCACCCTGCAGTTGCGCTTTCCTTTGCCTTCCCTTTCCATTGTTGCACTGGGGTTTAAGAGAATGTTAACGCGGTAATAGGCACAGGGCCTTCCCCATTATACGTCTTGCTATCGAGCGGTTCTGCATGACTAGTTAAAGAAGATGGCAAGAAGATTAATGAAAGCCAGGCTAATACAGAAGGGGGTACTTTTGCAAGACTTCTACCAAGGAGA